GACTCGCAGATCCACTAGGCTTACTGTCTTATCATCAAAGCTTAGCAAGCAACAAGTGAAGGTATGTGGTGTCCCAACGGGTGGTTAAAGATACCTAGGCGGCGGACCCTACTTTAGGGTTCTCATTTCCTTCCTCTGTGAAAGATCTCAGTTCATAAATATTTACAATGTTTATTGTCATATTGGGTTTAACAATATTCTCTGCTGCAGATGCCGACCCATGCTGCAGAAGCGGCTGTCGTCGAGGACACTGCTGCAGTGGTGGTGAATCACGATCCTGAGATGCATCTTAAAATTTTCTCAGACCAACACAAAACTTGGGCGGAGATGCACAACCTGGATTTGAAGGCCGACGAGGGCCAGCTCCTTGCGGCCATCCTCCAGTGGCCTGAGCAGTATAAACTCTACTGTGGGAGTGAGGGCTCCTTTCATCACTCCTTTGCAGTATGTGGAATTCTGGTGGCGAATGGCATGTATGCCCCAGACTTTAACAACCCCAAGCTGCAGGCTATCAACCACTTCACTGAGGACATGAAGTCTGCCCTGCTGTCTGGGGGGCTGAAGCAGTTTGAGCTTGCACTCCTTCTTGCGGGTCTGAATGCACTCTGCCAGGGAGACGTGGGAGCACAGGGTCAGCAGGTCCGGAAGCGTGCAAAGTCTGCTGCAAGCAATGACTGCAGCAAGAGGACAAAACGTACCGCACAGGAGATGGCGGGCTTGCTTGAGAAGGAGTTTCACTGGGACATCATGTCTGCATCCAACTTCAGGGACATCCCGGTAAGGTGTCATGGTCCAGGATTCTTTACTATTCTCAACAGACATCCATAGAGGGTTTGGCACCATTGGTAAGGCGCGACCATTGCCCCCGGGAGATCCCGGGATCGATACCTGTTAGGGTTAAAGTCCTTCCGATGGTGGAAGACATTGCCCCCTTAGTTGATGGACGGTGGTGACCTGGGGTGAAGATAACCCTCAAGCTGACCAGGAATGGAGTTGGGCCGCTGTCGACCTGGCAGATTCCGTTGGAAATGGAGGTGGGTGCGGAACCTGAGCGATTCACTGAGAAGTTGACTAGGGTGACTGGATGAGGGTGCCCCGAAATACCAGGGAAGGCAGGGTTTCGCAGGGTAGCTGCCACGGGTGAAGATACATCCTCCTGTTTCACACATCATACATCCTGATGAAATATTTGCATGGGCTAACCCTAAGACACCCTCCTGTAATGTTGTATGCTTTTATCAATCCACAGGAGGTGAAGGTTCGGATTGCAGAACTTATTAATAAATTTGGCGGAACTGAAGGTGCCGCCACCATGGTAGGCATTAAGGCCAAGGCAAACACAACCGAGAAGGATGTTGCTGAAGAATTGATGAAGTCACTCCGCCACAAATGGAAGAACCTCCGCAACATGGCTAAGAAGACACAGAAAGAGAAGGGTGCGTGACTGTGAACTTGCTAGCCTCATCATGCTTGTATGTATAAGTGGAGACAACAGGACATGTGATGCCTCCCGCTGCCTGCACCTAGTCAATCCATGTGCAATAGCGCTAGCCAGCACATGTGTATGTACACAGGAACCCAAGCTCTATGTATATGTGCATGCATGGTAAATGTCAGTTGCTCCTCAACATGCCATCATCCCTCCTGCTTGCCTACAATATGACCTGGGCATTCATGTCATGCATGACTCTGCAGGTGATGAGCCAACCCCTGCCCAGCAGGGTGCCCAGGTGCCTAATCATAATATTCTGGACACGGCTGAAGATGGCACCGTGGTAGTACAGCAGGACAACACGGCAGCAGGGCCCAGGAAATGCTGCTCCTGCTGACCCCTGCTGCTGGGCCTCCCTTCTGGATGACAGCCTGGAGGAGATGGACAAGTACAAGTCGGCAGGCGGCCATGTGTCCTACCTCAACAATCTGGCTGACAAGACGATTGGCTGCTATCTGGTGGGCGGCTCCAAAGACAAGCCGAGCACACCATCAGTGCTTGGGGCGGGCTTGGTGCTCAGTGACATGGCAAGTATATATTATGGCAGATTGCTGTACACTCTGTGTTCTAACTTGCAACATACAATTTGGCCATTTCTGCAACTGATTACTCAGTTGGATCCGGTTTTACTAATTCTTTGGTGGTGCAGGCATCGGTTTCCATTGAGGACACCATTGAGATCCTGGTCATTGGCAAGATGAAGGGGCTGCACCACCGTGCAAAATTTACCCTGCCTGAGCCTACCAAGACACTCGCCATCAAGGACTACCCCTTGACCATGTTTGATAAAGTAAGGAACGACAGGACATTAATTAACCACCAGCAGTTCCTGTATCCTGACAAGCTTTCATTACTTCCTATATATGCAGGTAACCTGGCCTGTTCTGGGCATCCTGGCTATCGACAAGGGCAGACATGCTGTGCCCTGGGCGTGTGATACCCTGGGCGTCAGTGCAAAGCAGATATCATCAGCCTTGAAGGGGAACAACATTAAGGGTTAGACGTAGTTGTGACTTCTGGGGCATGGAAACAAGTACAGAGGGATGGTCGGTATAATTGAGGGCCTGCTACATACTGCTAACTAGCATCATGATTAATGTTTGACCTATGTGTCGGGATGGAGTTGGCATGCATGCCTGCTCCTTCTGCACATGTGTATGCATGCTACAACATGTACATATCTCGA